AGAAGTGTCTTACCCTCGTGTTCGTCACGCTAATACACCCTTAAAATAATACAATTTAGTGAGTTAGTGGTTACACTACTCACGCTATGTGTTAGGTAAAAATCGTCGTTTCCCGTTGCCAGTCACACGATTAGAGCGAATCCCCACACCTCTATAGAGGTTGTTTAGCCATAACTCTTCATGAGCCTCTCTTTCCGTGGTGTTCGTTCCGAACTGTTCTCAAATCTTTCCAGGACGGAGAGTGAAACCTTTCCCAGTGTAAGGGTAATTTAGTAGGAACGACTCCCATGTTATGGCCTTTTTCCGATACTCACACTCTTACCTTGATTACCAGGACTACATCATAAGGATGTAGGTCGACACTCAGACAACCAGTACTCTAGGCACGGGAAAAATTTATGCCTAATACAGTTAGGACAGATATGTCCATGGTTTAGCCATCGTCTCTCATTTTCATGCGTTCATTTCCGTGTAGGAAAACCATGCCTCCGAAGAAGCGTAACCAATCCACAAGCAAGAAACCTACACTCTTATTCGATGAAGCTACGTTTCAAGCTGCAGTCTCAGCAACCGTAGCTGTTGATGAAGATAGCTTAGTACCATGTTGTTCTTATTACATTTGTCTGTATTAGTTTGATACCCTGTTATGTAAACTATGTAAAACTATTACTATTAATGCAATGTTTTGTTGTACTTTGATTACTATAATGCATGTGTCGTGATACTTGACATGACGTCATCCACCCCAGAACGTTTTCGCCGTTCTGGTTTTGGGGTGTGACACTTTCCATTGTATACTTGACTATAAGCCTTAGCCAAGGTTGTAGCACTATCACATCTGATAGAAATGGTAGATATAGGTTTGGGCCATAATGGAGTTTCATAAATCAAATTCCTTAGCCACTCAACTTCTTTACCAGCAGCAGACAAAGCAACAAATTCAGACTCCATGGTTGAGTTAGTAATACAAGTCTGTTTCTTAGATGCCCAAGAAATGGCACCTCATCCAAGAAGAAACACCCAACCACTAGTAGAGGAGTGATCCTCTAATTTGTTAATCCAGCTGGCATCTAAATAACCTTCTAAAACAGAAGGATATCCACTATAAGTCAAACCATAATTCGTGGTCCCTTTTAAGTACTTGATTACTCTACTCACGGCTTGCCAATGATGTGAACTAGGATTACTAGTATATCTACTAAGCCTTCCCACAGCATATGCTATATCAGGCCTAGTACTAATCATGGCATACATTAGACAACCAATAGCCCTTGAGTATTCTAGTTGAGACACTGGAGATCCTTTATTAGGTAGAAGCTTAAGACTAGGATCTATAGGAGTGCTAACAGGAGAACAATTCTCAAAGTTAAACTTTTTCAATATCTTCTCAATATAATGAAATTGAGAAATTGAAATCCCATTGTTTCCTTTTCTAATTCTTATACCAAGAATTTCTTCAGCTTCCCCCATGTCTTTCATATCAAAACTGGATGATAAGAATTTCTTGGTTTTATCAACTTCTTCTAAATCAGTACCAAAAATCAACATATCATCTACATATAAGCAAATCGTGACTCCTTTACCAGAAGTATCAAATTTGCTATATACACACTAGTCAGCTTGGTTTAATGCAAAACCATTAGACAAGACAACATCATCAAACTTTTGATGCCATTGTTTTGGTGCTTGTTTCAAACCATATAATGATTTCTTCAACTTGCACACTTTGTGTTCATTTCCAGGCATCACAAACCCTTCAGGTTGTTTCATGTATATTTCCTCATCCAAGTCACCATTCAAGAATGCAGTTTTCACATCCATTTGGTGAATCACAAGATTATGTATAGCTACAAGAGCTAATAATAATCTAATAGTAGAAATTCTGGCAACAGGAGCATAAGTATCAAAGAAATCAATGCCTTCCTTTTGTCTAAAGCCTTGGATAACCAATTTGGCTTTATACTTATCTATTGTGCCATCCACCTTCATTTTTCTTTTGAGGATCCATTTACATCCTAATGCCTTGCAACCAGGAGGTAAATCAGCCAATACCCAAGTATTGTTATGCATGATAGAATCAATCTCATCATGAATTGCCTCTTTCCAGAAATGTACATCCCTAGAAGTCATAGCTTCACTGAAAGTCTTTGGATCCTCTTCAATATTAAAACAATATTGATGTTGAGAAATAGTCTCATTCCTTGTTCCTTCAACTAAATATAGTTGAAAATCAGATCCAAAAGACTTAGCTTTTCTAGCTCTAGTGCTTTTCCTAGGTTCGGGTACAAAACTTGCACCACCAGAAACATCTTCAGCTTGAGTAGCACTCTTGCTGGAAGATTGATGAATCATGTCCCTTGGTCTACGTATAGATGTAAATCTTTCTTCATCAAAAATAGCATCTCTTGACTCTATCACTGTGTTTACAGACACAGAGTCATTAGATTCTAAAACATAGAATCTATATGCTTGGAATGCTCAGCATATCCAATAAAGATACAATCTATACCTCTCTTACCCAACGTTTTCCTTTTGGGTTCAGTGAGCCTTACAACCGCTCTACAACCCCAAACTTTGAGATAACTCAAATTTGGTACCTTTTTACACCAAAGTTCATAAGGAGTATTCTTACTTCTTTTATTTGGAGTTCTATTCAAGATGTAACATGCACTTAACATTGCCTCACCCCAAAACCCTTCACTTAAACCAGAATACGACAACATGGAATTAACCATTTCTTTCAAAGTCCTATTCTTCCCAGCCAGGGGCTCTGCCCCTTGGACCCCGCCAGGGGCTGCCACCCCTTGGACCCCGCTCCCAGGGGCGCTACCCCCAGACCCCCGTTCGTTTAGGGGCTGCGCCCCTAAATGATAGTGTACTTTGCAAACTTGATCAAACTTAAACAAGTGTGTACTCCACACCTTCCTTACTTGTTTAATATTTATCAAGATCACCTTTGGTCAATAAAGTAATCTCATTACACTTAAATAATATTGATGATAACAAATCACCGACATAAAATCGGGGTGGGTGGTAGTCTTTAGTGAACAACTGCTGAGCATTCCGTGGAACCTGTTTTCACCATTAATGTTAAGTTCTATTTCATGATACATACTTAAAATTTACAGTGATGATCAGTAATTAGTTTATTCTTTATTTGTTCTTTTAGTTTCCTTGGAACCAGTAAATGAATCGACCTTAATCTTGGGTTTCTATATGAGCATCTGATTGTGCCCAAAATGTGAAGCTTATGTCTGTGAACACTAACACTCTCCATATCAAAACCAGCAATGAACAAACGGAACTAGCTGCACACGTTGGTAAAACTGACCATGGTCAAATAAGCAGCTGCAACATAATATTATTTGACTGCTGTTGAACTAACGTTGTTGATGTCTTGATGATATGTTTCAATTCAATTTTAGCTTTTGTAGGAAAGGTTAATGCTAAAATCACCGGGGATTAAGTTGTTGGATTGTTTTGGATGAGCGAAAATGTTTTCAGATTTTCAATAAAACCATAATCTAATAAAACCATAATCTACTACACTGTGTGATAATGTGTATTATGACTTCAATGATAATTCATTTGTATAAATGCAAAATGGTTACACAATGACAATTTGTCTTTATTATAGTCATAATAAAGAGAAAATTGCAAATTTAGCCGAATATACTAATTATTTTGTGGAAAAAAAAAAAAAAAACCTAAATTACAAAATTAGCATTTAAAAACATACAAGTGCCTAAAGCACATATGTGCTTTAGGCACTTGTACGTTCGCAGATGGAACATACCATTTGCGATTTTGTGTATTCCATCATTGATTTCGTAGACATTTAGTATAAAAACATTTTTTTTATTTTCACTATATTTTTTAGACAATTCTCTCTCTCACCGGTTAGAAGGCAAACCAAATATTTATATATATTTTTTTAAAAAGGTTTTAACCAAATTTTCCAACGAAATAACAACATAAATGATAATTTCTTGAAAAACATTATATATAATAAGGTTGTTTTATAATCAAACCTTATCAATTTCATAGTTAAAAAAAAAAAACAAAAACAAAAAAATAAAAAACAACATAAAATCGCAGGTGAAAACGAGAGGAAACCGCAGATGGACTATGTCCATCTGCGATTTTATGTTGGAAAAGGTATATATATATATACAGCGAAAAAAAATAAAAATAAAAATAAAAAACCACCTGCGAACGTACAAGTGACTAAAGTACAAACGTTCTTAAGTCACTTGTACGTTCGGAGATGGGAAGGCGAAATTGCAGATGGCTTATACCCATCTGCGATTTTAGTAGCTAAAAATGCAATTTTTTTTTTGGCTATTTTCCACAAAGTAATTAGTGTATTTGGTTAAATTTGCAATTTTGTCCATAATAAATAATTATAAGTGGGTGCCCTCAAATTGGTGGCGACTTCGTGGGGCATACAATATTTAATTTCCATGAAATTAGAACCAAATTGAAGAATTGGAATTAATTGCCCCAAATTAGTTAGACGTTCAAAGACGTACAAGTCTTGACAATTTGTCTTTACTATAGATATCTTTTTCCCATTTTGTGTTATTTTTCATAGAAAATTGAATGTATGGCGCTGTAAATCATTCTCAAGAACATCAAAGAACAACCATATTTAGCTGTGTAAAGAACAATTAAGAGTGAAACTACTAATATTAATTGCATGTATACACAATGACAGGAATGAGTGCACTTGCATTATGTTTTTGTCCATTGCTCTTACTTTCTTGCAAAATACTGAGTTTTAAACAAATTTGAAACTTGGGTAGGAAATTATAAACTAGAGAAGCTATGAAGTTTAGTTGATGGCTAATTACTCATTGTCTAATTTGTTCTTCTAACAAGTATCATGGTGAGTAAAATGAACGTTTTATTGCATATACTTTTATGTATTTTTAAATTCAATGTAAGTGTCCAACATAACCCTTTTATTTTTACTATATCAAGAGGTAATCAACTATGAAATGGTCCCCATAACCTGGTATAACCTGCTATACCAGGTACGACATGTTACCAACTTTCATTTTTTTCCATTTTGGCCCATGTTTTATTTTTTATTACGAATTTGGTCACTTTTTTATTTTTTATTTTTTTTGTAAAAATTTGCCCCGAAATTGGTTGGATGTGCCAAGTATATAGAGTTAAATAGTGGAGGGGGAATATGAGATTCATGAAATTGGTTACAGTACTAAAATAAACAGTAATATCCTTAATATTTTCATGGGTTGATTTATATTTCATGTCATTAGTTTGCTTGTTTTGTGATTTATATGATATTATTTTGAGTACCAAAAAACATCACAATATGGAAAACCTATGGATAATAAATACAAATTTCCAAGACTTGCAAGTCTTTGGAGGTTTAATTTGTGGCAATTAATTCCTATTATTCATCTTTGATTTTTCTTATAGCTTCGTTCTCATTTTATTGAAATTAAGCATTGCATGCCCCACAAAAGCAGATACCAATTTGAGCCACCCATTTGGAATCATTGTCTTCACAATCACAGTCAAGACTATATAAACCCTCACATGGTAGTTCATATACAACTGCCAAAAATCATTCAGATTTTGATTGACAATATAAATCCTTGTGTTTTAATAATTTTCTCATTTCTCTTGCTCCTCCTTGTGACTACTACAACTGCAAGCCAATTGGGAGGTGATGATACTTATAATGGTGTTAATATGAAAAAGTGTTTGGATAATGAGAGAGATGCTCTTCTTCTTTTCAAAGCTCCCCTTCAAGACCCTTATGGATGGTTCTCATCATGGACAGCTGATGAACATAACTGCTGTAATTGTAGTCTTGTAGTCTTCATCTTTCCTCCAATTCTTTTCATGGAACCATTCCCACTTTCGTTGGTTCTTTGACTCGGTTAAGGTATCTTGATCTTTCCTACAATTCTTTTCATGGAACCATTCCCACTTCTATAACAACTCTGATGCTGTCAAATTTCCTGATTTTCTCAACAGCTTGTCTGGATGCACATCCCTTTCATTACAATCCTTGCAAGCTTCATATAACCAATTTACAGGGCCACTGTCCGATGAGATCCAAAAATTTTCATCACTAAAACACTTGTACCTATCTCATAATCAGCTATATGGAAGTATAAGTGAGAAACTGTGGGAATTACCAATGCTTGAAGAGCTTGACCTTTATTTTAATAATCTTACACTTCCTTCCACATATCACTTGTCTGGCCTTTTTAATGTACGGTATATTGATCTGAGCTCTTGCAAGCTCCAACAGCCTCGCTTCCCTAAATGGATTCAGACACTCAAAAATCTTACCTTTCTTGGCATTTCCAATACTGGAATTTCAGATGTTTGAGGTTTTTTATTGTTGTTGTTCCTATTCCAAGTAAAATAAGTATATTTTTTGGGCCAAAAGTGTAATACATCAGCTATTGAAGAGACCAACATGCTTGGGATGTGGAAAGTCTATCAGCGGAGGCTCAAGCCAACTAAAAGATAGGGGAGCATGATTGTGAGGTGCACGTCGTCATGATTTGATTTCCTAAAAAGACTATTTTTAGTATGGAAGAGTCAAATGGAGGACCTTCAACTTAGGAAGAGCTTTGAAAATAAATTCACGTGGCCATTCGGTGAATACGATCATAATAAACAAATTTTTTTGTGACAAATGATTAGCAAAACACAACAGTGAGAATAAATTTATGTGGCCATGGTTATGTTTTGTTTAATTGTGTGTCTCTAAAAGATAGTCAATAGTCAAAATAAACAATTTTTTTATGTGATAAATTATTAGCAAAATACCACAGTGAAAACAAAATTCATGTTGTCCTTCGTTGAAAGACAATCACTAAAATAACTAAAATGTTTGTCTAAAAAAGGTTTACGACCACAATATTAGATAAAATAATTTATTACAACAACAAAAATCCATATCCAATTGCCACACTTAGGGGTGTTAATTTATGACACGACACGACAAAATACACGAAACGAAACAAAATCGGGACGAAAGCAAAATTTGAATTTGTGTTCGTGTCAAGATTAAAAAGCACGATATTGTGTCATGTCGTGTTCACATTCATAAATCGACACGAAATTGACACGAGTAAGCATGTGGCTGTCGTGTTTTTAGTGTTTGTCGTTTTTGTCTTGTTATATATCTTTAAGTTATATCAAATTTTTGTTGGGTTATAATACCTTTAAAGAAATCATTTTGATGAACCTTGAGTAGAAGTACATACGTATCTTAGAAAAACAGTTAAACACAACCCATCTCAAACAAGCATGTCCTTCCGAACAAAGATAGTTCCTTAAAAGAATGAGATTATTTTGATAAACAAAGTCAATCCAAATATTAAAAAAATAGAGTAAAGATAAGGATTTTGATATCAAAATCCATATCCGGAGTTTAAGATATCTGAAATTTCGGATATAGGTTTAGATTTTGGTAAAGTCGTGCATGCAAAATGAGATCTTCACCATAAATATAAGTGACAAAGGGAAATAATCTTCAAATGATCACATTTCATTAACTACCCTTTTTAGAGCATCCATAATATGGTATCTTTTTGGTGAAGTTTTAATGAAAAACTTCAAATGAGAACTTATTTTATCTTCACAATATGAGGTTTTCAATTTGCTTACCCATTTTTTTATCTTTTTATTGTTGTTTGTATAAGTTGTCTATTTACAGTTGGTTGAAAATCTATAGAACCTACCATATGTCCATATCCAATAGTTTTTTTCAATTTTGAAGAGTTTTTTGGTATGAGAAACTTCAAAAAAAAAAAAAAAAAAAAAAAAAAAAAAAAAAAAACTTATGTTTTCCTTGCTCTTGGTTCTTAATGGGGAACTTATGACAACCAGAACCCTCATATAGCCTCTAAAAGTATTATGGGAAGTAAGAAACATTGTTACAAAGATACATCATAGAACAATTATAAAGCTAGAAGAATGTAGATTATTATAGAATCGCAAGTCACCTAACAATGACAATCACAAAATCATATATACATAATACCCGTCCAAACATCACTATAACTTCTTCTTGATAGAAATTTCGTTCGCAACAATTAAGGTGTTAAAAGAACTAAAGTTTCAACGAATTGTTCAACAAGATATTCATGTATGTTCGTTCAACAAAAAGATTCATTTATTTAATAAACGGTTATTGTTAGAAAAGCTCCATTATTATGGCCTAATTTATGGAAAAGCCTCAAATTATAACGTTTGAACAAAAAAGTCTCGATTACCGAATAAAAAATTCAAATCAACCCATCCAAAAATCAAAATGTTTATTATTATCATTAATATATATTAATATCATCCTATTAGTATTTTTGTTCTTATTTTTATTACTTTTATTTGCATCATGTATTATCATCGTTAGCATTAACTACTCAATTTTAAAGGTAATAAAAACTGACACTACATAAAATAAATGGGTTTGGTAAAAGATTTCAACCAGTTTTAATAAACTAAAATAAGTTGCCATGCATATTTTACCCATAATATCTATATATTTGTATTTTTTACCTATATCAACAACTTTACTTTACTTTTTACCCATAATAATAACACACTTACATTTCACTACCAATATAGGTAAACGTACTTTGTTATACATTCCTATAATCCTATCATCCTTTAAAATTGCAACTATAATGGACAAAGAAATTAAGCATGTCACTATTTTTTGTAAAAGTGATGTAACTATGTTGATATTATGGAACTACATATTGCTATTATCAGTAAAAAAAAATAAGTATTCAACTATTATGGGTAAAAAATGCAAGTACATTGTAATTATGGGTTAAAAAAATAAATACATTTGTTGGTGATTTGTTTCACTAATGTGATTTAAGTGTAATGGGATTACTTTTGTTGACCAAAAGTGATCTTGATAAATATTAAACAAGTAAGGAAGGTGTGGAGTGCACACTTGTTTAATCTTATTCAAGATTAAAAGTAGACTGTCATTTAGGGGCGAAGCCCCTGAACGAACGGGGGTCCGGGGGGAACGCCCCTGGAAGCGGCGTCCAAGGGGCAGCAGCCCCTGGCAGGGTTATATTGCTGTATTGAAAATGCATCAGAAATCCAAATTTAGAATATTTGACCCGTTTTTGACTTGGTATTAATTCTTGTAGAAAACTCGGATTTATGACAGTTTGTTGACTATTGCCAAACTGTTTTATGACAGTTTTGACAGTTTTCAGACAAAGAAGGTATTTAACCGATTTTGGTCAGTTTTTTCTGGTACTTACGAAAATTCATATACTCATTCTCTGTTCTTTTCTCTTCTGAGTCTTATCCAATCAAAGATTAGGGAGTACCACCTAATACTTTGATTTGATAGTGAAATCACAATTCTCAGAATTTCCAAAGCTATTTTATCCTTATTATCTTACAACATTAACCATATCGGTAAAAAGAGTAAAGCAAGTTATTACTCCCGATTATTTACCCAATATTTATCTATTAACCATAATAACAAAGAAATGAAATTACAGACAATTTAAAAGATTACAATTATTTACATTTTGATTTCATAGATCATTTCAAACAAATATTCTACAAAACAACCACCTTGGCATATCATCAGTAATTTATTTATTTATTTATTTGCTTAAATATGTTATTTAAAGAGAAAAGAACACAGAAACATAATGTAACACAAGTGATAAAGAAAATTATGATCAAAAGTACAATACTTAATTTGAGATGCAATATGACTCTTATTATCAAGGCCTTGTATCAACTAGTTTAATCCACATTTATCAAATCTCATGAATGATGATAAATAAATCCTCAAAAGAAAAACAAAACTTTTTGTAACATTGCTGACCTGGCATTTAGCATCATTCTTCTTTCAGCAAAAGTGAAGTGCATGACAGAAGTGAAGACAACTCATCTTCTGTTGCCAATCCAAAACCTTGCCAACGTATTCTACCAAATTTGTCCACCAAGAATATATAACTGTTGACCATTAACAAAAACAAGATTTTATTTAATGACATGTGATATTTTTTTATAAACTAAGTTATAAGATACATGAAAATGAAGAAAAGATTGATACCCAGTTAGAAGGTTGAGTATTTTGAGCTCTTTTCTGAAGTAATAATGGTCACCAAAAGCATATGCTATTTCTCTCTTCACTAAACCATCACTTTCCTGGCGTTTTGGCTTTTTTAACATGCGTAGTAATAGTGTCTTTATAGGGGCGAGAGATAAAAACCATGATTCAATGAAGGAGATCTGAAAACAAATATAAGAAGCTAAGATATGGAAGGTGTTAATTAAGTCCCAAAAAATGGAATTTAGAAGACATGCAACACCATTCATATGAAAGGACATATGCTACTACTATAATCTAATCGAATACCTCATATAACTGAACTTTCTCTGAGTCCCTAAAAGCTTCAACAAAAGGAAAACTCCAAGAATCAGTCATTGCCTGTAAAAAGATGGTGTTTCAGGTTCTTATTCAGCTACCAAAATGGCAAAAACATCATAATATCATTTCACATTGTGATTCCTTTTACTAAATGAATGAGAAAGGCAATGACATTAGAACCTGTGAAGTTGCACGAAAAGAAAGACACATCAATGTTGCTTTTGGGAAATCAGTCTTCATTGATTCATTGCTAGTTCCAAAATTAGTGATGGGTAGTTTGAAACGTTTTCCATTTGAGTAATTTACTTCTAGCTGAGGGAACTTCAAAGCTTCCATTGCTGGAATAATAACCTTATTTGCCATGGCAATCTGCAAATCATGGATCAAAATCATGTTAATTCAAGTAAACAACTCATCCTTCTGCTTCAATAATCTATTAGAACTTGTCTTACCTTACCACCATGTTGTTTGAGTTCAGCCATATCAGCAAAATATCCCCTATTCATTTCATCTTTACTGCCCTAAATCGCACAAATTTCAACAAAAATTCAACCACAGCTTACATGATAATCGACTGAAGAATCAACTACAGTTATGCAACAACAAATCGTCATACTTACAGCCGAGCACGCTCTTTCTCGATCGCATCCTTATTTCCAAGCTGCATTCAAATTAGGCTTCGTTATGGATTACAACATGGTATCCCTAACAGTATAAGAAATCGAATGCACAGCAATTGCTGCTCAACAATACCAAAAATCAAGCTCATGTGGCACGCTTACACGACTTCATAATGTCTAGGATCTGGTTTCAGCGAAAACTGAATTCAAATTAGTTTACTTTACCTGATAGAAATCGAGGAACCGATTGGAGGTGAAACGCGTGGGGATGTTGGCTGGTAAAAACATTTTATCTTCTTGTGTGAACAAGAGCCGTGAACTGAGAGCAACCGCCGATCTGGAAGAAGTCAACTGCTTCAACTTC